CCCCAAAACCCCAAAACCCCAAAACCCCGTTAAAGTTGATCGGTAATGAAATTGGGAATAAACGAAATTAATTAAAATATATATGAGCTGATTGTGATAATGCCTGTCTCAAGACATCAAATTAAATAATAATATTTATCATTAATATACTTTCTCAAGCTTTGCGCACCTATTAAATCTCCAATAATTGAGGAAATTATCTTTAAAAATGATCAATCTAAAACCAATTCAGAAAACATATTATAACAATGAGGGAGAAGAAGAAAAATCACCAAAGTATTCTTTCAGACCTCATCCAAATAGTAAAAACATCAACTTTTCATCATCACATTATAGCTTAAAGACCATAAATAAAAGTATTCTATGAAAGCATGAAGAACTCTTATAAGGATGCTGAATCATCAATATCCTCAATTAGAAGTGATTCAATTGATTCTGAACTAGATGATGTTGTTTAAATTCAACTCAAGAAGCAGAACATCATGGGTTCTAATCTTAATATGATGATCTAATAAGATTTACCACCACCTATTCAGGACAAATCGAATTCTAATGATGAGGAAGAATCAGACGATGATGAGGAGGTAAAGAGGGCAAGCTCCTCAGCAAGGCCTCATGATTTAGAAGATTAAGAGCAAGGAGCTCTCTATGCAAACGGTCAAGGTGGAACTACTGGTAAGAGCCCTGGACTAAGAAAATAATTTACCCAAATGAAATCTCGTAAGATCAAGTACGTAAAGAAAATTGTTAAGGTAAAAACTAAGAGCAAAAAAAGCATGATGATGACCTAAATGTCAAGAGGCAAGTCTTTTGCAATGAATGTACCTGGATAATTCACATCTATTCAACATGATCAATATACTTCAATGATTAAATTGCCTCTATAAAGAGAATCGTCAGCAAATGTTACATCCCCAAAAAACATCGAAAGTAATAACTTGCTAATACCTAAGAATAAATAATCAGACAAAAAGACTGATCGTAGAAACAGTAGTCGCAGGGGCACTGGGGTAAACGTAGTTAACATAGATGCCTAGATGTTTATTCATGAGAAGAAAGGCAAAATTACTAATGATTATGAGGTGTTAGCCGTCATAGGTAAAGGAGGGTATGGAGAAGTCAAGAAAGTCATCCATAGACTCACTGGTGATGTTAGAGCAATGAAAATCATTAAGAAGGAAAGTTGCGATGAAGGCTATTTAAAATCACTCAGCAATGAAATCAACATTTTGAGACAACTAGATCACCCTAATATCAACAAACTCTATGAGATCTATCAAGATAAGCATCATATCTATATGATTACAGAGTTCCTTGGTGGAGGTGAGTTATTCGATATACTGGTCAAGAAGAGATGCTTAGGAGAAAGCATTGCTGCAAAGATAATTAAATAAGTACTTTAGGCTATAAACTATTGTCATTCAAAGAAAATAGTCCATAGAGATCTCAAGCCTGAAAACTTGATGCTGGAAGCTGAAGATTAATGGAATGTTAAAGTTATAGATTTTGGACTATCAAGGTACTTTTCTAATGATAAGAAAATGTGCCAGCGACTAGGCACACCTTACTATATAGCACCAGAAGTTTTGAAGAAAAAATATGATGAGAAGTGCGATATTTGGAGTATTGGTGTTATACTTCATGTATTGTTATGCGGGGCTCCTCCGTTTCAAGGTAGAACTGATGAATAAATCTTTGAAGCGATTTAACTAGGATACATTACTTTCGCATCTCCAGAATGGGAGAATATCTCGAACGAAGGAAAGATATTTATTAAGAAGCTACTTCAGGTGAATCCAGATGCAAGATACTCAGCTAGATAAGCCTTAGATGACCCCTGGATCAAAATATATACTGGTGGTGATAATGTTTAACTAGCCTATAGCGTAGCAAAGAAAGTTCTTAACAATCTAAGATATTTCAGAGTAAGTTTATAATGACATTAATCTCTTATCATTATTATAGCCAGATACAACTCTTTAGCAAGCTGTTCTCACTTATATGGCCAGTTAGTTTGCTTCAAAGGATGAGAGAATGAAACTGAATGAAATTTTCAAGGCTTTTGACAAAAATCATGATGGAATACTAAGCAGAGAGGAGTTGATTCAAGGGTATACCTAGATGTATGGAAGTGAAGCTAAAGCAATATAAGAAGTAGATTAGATTCTATAAAAACTAGACATGAATAACTCTGGAGGAGTAGATTATTCAGGTAAGAAACATTTTAATAGTCTTAAAGATCAATAGAATTTTTCTTGGCAACAATCAATATACCTAATATGCTGACAAAAGAGAAACTTAAAGCAGCCTTTTAGATTTTTGACCCTGATGGCAGTGGTTAAATTTCAATAAATGAAATTGTTGCTATCATGGGTGGAGGAGATTCTGTTGAGGGTATTGATGATTGGAAATAGGTTATTGCTGACATTGATAAAGATGGAAATGGTGAGATTAATTTTGAGGAATTTGAACAAATGATGAAATAGTTAGTGAGTTAGTAGAAATGATTTTAAATGTATTGGCCAGTTTGCTAGCCGCATTTATTAAGTGTGAGTAGTCTATAATGATCCAATATAAGTGAGTAACAGGATTATGATAGCCAATAGAGATTAAATATATCAGATTTTATTTAAGCTCTTGATTATAAAGCAGTTAATTTTTATAAAAAAGAAAATAAATATTTCCTTATTCTTTAATTTTAGATGATATTGATAATAGGGGTTTTGGGGTTTTGGGGTTTTGGGG